ACACGTATCTCTGCTCACACCATGACCTGAGCCCTGCACCCCAGGATGAAAGCCGCTTACTGCAGCTGGTGCACAGAGCAGCAGGAGATAACAAGTTAAGGATAACAAAAATTTTTTTTTTAGCGAGCCCACAAAGTCTGCCAAGTTTCAAGGAGAGAGGTGCAGGGTTTCTGGGAAACTGCACCTCAAACTGCTGACGAGCAAAACTCATGACATAGGTGACATTGTGTGTGTGTTAAGGCACAGGGGTGAAAACTGCAGACATGCTAGCCCCTGTGGAGGACACAAAGTCTGCCAAGTTTCAAGGAGATAGGTGGAGGGGTTTGCGGGAAACTGCACCTCAAGCTGCAGAGAAGCAAAACTTGTGACATGGGTGACACTGTATGCGTTAAGGCACAGCGGGGTGACAGCTGCAGGGATGGTGGCCCCTGCTGCAGCCACGAAGCCTGCCAGCTGTCAAGGAGATCGGTGCAGGGGAGTTCTGGGGCCTGCACCTCTAGCTGCTGACGGGCAAAACTCGTGTCATGGGTGCTTGTGCAACTGTGTCTGGACTGAGCCTCTCGGGCTCTGCATGCTGTTTGAATACCCGTGTCCCAGGGGTGGTGCATGGCCAATACTGACCAATACCCCCAACACTGCTGGAGGCCCTAAGACAGGCCGAGAGCAGCAAGAGTGAAAATCAGGAGATCCTAAGCAGGATCAGCCTCACAAGTAACTAAGTTATTTAGGAGCATGAGCACCCTTTAGAGTCAATGGGGCTTCAGCTGCTAAGACTGTGGGCTCTTCTAAGCAGGCCAGAGATGGGAGATATTTTGTGGCAGGTTACTTGGTGGTGTTAATGCTCACAGGAACTTGATGTACCAATCAGATTCAGGGAAATGTGATAGAGATCTGTGTACAGCAGGGTGAAAGAACCCGCATCCCCAGGAGCCACGTCCCCGCGAGAGGTGCTTTCTCTCCAGAAACCACCAGCCCTCAGCCTTGAGCCGTGGTACTGCAGCTGTGCACATAGACGGCAGCCCTTGGGCTGGAGGGGCAGCATACTTGTGACCATCATGTTTCTCACCAAGTCCCTGATTGTTTCAGCCTTAGGTAACCCCCGCACACAGCTCTCAGCACCGTGCTCCTGGACACAAATTCCAGCACTGGGCTCTTGGCTGGATTGCAAATGCCTTTTCATGGTGATGGAGGTAGCTGTAGAGGGGTTGTTAGGATGCTGCTGCAAAGCTGCCTGGAAAGCAGAAGAATTAGCATCAAATGCCTTCCGGTCCCAAGACCTGATGGGCTCCTGTGTCAGCCCGAGACCTGCTGGAAGCTGACAATTGCCCTGTTGTGTTTCCACAGTGTTGGGAGTCCAGTTACATCTTCACCAGCCTCAGGGGTTCCTGTTTGTGGAAGTCGGTGGGACAGCAGAGATCCACTGCTCCTCCAGGGCGGATTTGGAAGGGGGAGCAAATGTGCACTGGTATCTGAGATGGGTGGGTGAGGCCCCCACGTGCATTAAGGACTGCGAGGATGGTTCAAATGGGAGCAAATTTGCTTGCAAGCATCAGAAATACAACACAGCCCTGGAGATCAGGGACATCGAAAGGAATGAGTCTGGAATTTATTACTGTTCACGTACACATGCTGGCTCCTTGACGTTTGGGAAGGGAACCACAGTGATCGTTGGAGGTAACGAAGCATTGCTTCTTTGATTAGAATATCTGAGTGTCTCATTGCTCTGAAAAGAAACTGTAAGAATGTAAAAGAGTAAATTGATAAAAAGGAGCTGTGTTTTTAGCCAAGTAAAATGGGTTCAGCATTAGCTGCTGGGGGCAGAGAGAGAATAGGCTATGCAGTGTTTATTCACAGGGAAAACCTGGCAAGTGGTGCAGGGAAGTGCTGGGTCTCTGTGGGGCTGGTCTGTGCAGCCAGGCTGGGAATGTTTCTCCCTCTGAGCCGTGACGGCGGGTGACACTCTGGTGATCTCTCCAAGCTGCTAGTGCTGCCTTGAGAAGGCTGCCCGGCTCACTTCTGGTCAGGACAGCCATGCATTGGGCTGGTTCCTCTGTTCCAGATCAGGATGGCACATTTCCTTATTCCCCAGTAGACTTTTATCTCCCTTAATCTCATGGTGACAGACCCACAGCTGAGGCCAGGCTGCAGCTCAGCTCTGTCTCCCTCACTGAACTCTCGGCTTCCTTTTTCCCCAGACAGCTTCAGCGACAACAGCTCCGTGCTGCTCCTGGGCCCTGTTGCAGGGGAGAACGGAGTCACAGATCCTGCACATCTGGCCTGTGTGATCCGGGGTGTCTCCAGCCTTGTCCAGGTGTCCTGGCACATTTCAGGGGAAGAGTCAGCCCAGGGCCTGCTGCGCTCGCTGGAAGCCAGTGCTGGGTCCTTAACACTCATCCATGGCATCAGCATCCCCTGGGCCAGCTGGGCCAGTGGGGTGGCCGTCACCTGCGAAGTCACATTCAACTCATCCGACAGCAGCGTTACCAGACATGCTGTCTATTCTGGAGGTAAGTGGTTCTGCATTTGAAGCTAAGACATAACATGCATGAAAAGCCTCTGCAATCACTCATGCCACTAACACGCATGTTATAGGCTGAACAATTGGGTTGTGCTTGAAAGTAGGCAGATGTACCAAGAATTTTGGGGAAGGTGGAATGACACCATGCCAGAAAATGAGGCAAGGTATGGGCCAGCTCAGAGAGTTAAATGATAATATCCAGGGGAGAGGGGAGTTAGGAGCCGATGAAGGGAGGAGAGGAGTGTGCTGGATGCTATAAGGGCTGTGGGGTGAGTGAAACAGTGCAGGGGGACTTTTGGAGATGGCAGAGGATACCAGGAAAATCCTGTCCCCGTGAAAAGCAAGCAGCTCAGTTAGGAGTGAGCAGCCTGATTCTCCTTGAGACAAGCAGGGAGGTTGGACACAATAAATCCCTCAAGCTCAGTTCCCAGCTTCCATCCAGAGGTCTCCCAGGGCTTTACAAGAGCTGGTAGTGCCAGCACTGCTTTCCAGGTGAGGAAACTGAGGCACAGGCAAGGGCAGGACTTGTAGGTGAGTGACAGCACCAGTGACGTGCCCAGCTCACTTCAGTCCTCTGAACAATGGACCCAGCTGCCCCAGAGTAGAGCCTGGATGTGAATCTTTTTGCTCTCCCTTGTAGCTCCCTCCGCACCCTGCGTCATGCTCCCTGTCGTGGCAGTGGTCAGTGCCCTGCTGCTGGTCACGGTGCCCCTGAGTCTCATCTGGATCCACTGCCCTCCCAGGCGGGGTAAGAAACAGCGCGTGGCCCCCAGACGCTCCCTGGGCATCACCAGTGGGCTCACCTGTGCGGGACAACCAGGCTGCAGCCGTCACAGGCCCCAAGGCTTGTCCTGTGCCTGGAGTTTGGCTCTGAGCTCTGCCCCGGGGAGCGATGTAGAAAGGCCCCCACCACAGACAGCCTGAGTATGGGGTCCATGGCTCATGCAGGGCATGAGGCTTTGCACCAGGGACTCATCCTTGTGCTCAGCCCTGTGTCCATGGGGGCACATCAGTGGAAGAGGAGCTATGACCACTGTCTCCATTTCAGGATCCCGGCCCAGGAAGCTAGCACCTCACATATCCCAGGAGAATCAGGTATGGCCCATTACAAACCCTTGCTGTCTGCCTTGGTGGGCCTGTCTGTGTCCAACCTCACAGCACAGCATGCATTCACACTGAGCAATTGACTGACAAGGGAGAAACATGGTTTAAGAGCAAGCGTTATCTCAGCTTGGCTGCTCACGATTGTTGGACCCTGGTATAGTAATTTTAACTGCTTTATCCCTGTGTGTAGAAATGGAGTGAACAAGACCTCCTTCCTCTGCGTTCTGGGAATGTCAGATGGTAGCTTCAGATCCTCTTTGGGTGTTAGATGGACCCTGACCTTTGTTCGGCACTTAAATAAATCAGGGGACTGAATTATCTTACATATAAGACACCTCACCTCTCATAGGCACCTTTTGTTTGAAAGGCATTATGAAAAAATATTTTTACCCCCAAATTATGGCAGCAGCGAGCAGGGACAGAGCCTCCTCTTCCTGCTTCACTAAAACCTGAGCTGCAGAGGAAGCCTGGTCTCCGTGGGTGGACCTCTGATCTTGAACAGATCTAAAGAGGTGTGAAATAGGAGCAGAGACCAGATGACCTAGCAGACAGGAAAAGTGCCCTCAGAGACTAGGTCACTAGTGCAGTGACCACGGAAAAGGAGAGATGGTTGTTAACCCCTGTGCAGTGAAGAGCAAGGGGGCTGTGAACTCCCTCAGCTGCCTAAAGAGGAATAGTAGAGCTACAGTGCAGCAGGGAGTGAGGCCGGGGGCTTCTATCTCAGGGAAAGTGATTTACTTGCCCACTGAATACCCGCAACACAAATATAGGCTGGGTTGGGGTAAAAGGTGTGTGTTTCATGCTAGAAAATACAGTGTTTGCAGAGCACTTCAAGAGATGGATGTGTGAACTACTTAATGAGGGGTAGAGGCTGGCAGGGCTTCACTGGACCAGGGGAAGTGCCCATGTGCCTGCTGCGCTTATGCCAGGGTATGTGAAAGCCAGACTGGTTTAGGTTATCCCTGGTTCACTGAGTGTTAAGGACACCCAAGTAGCAATGCATGAGAGTAGACACAAGGGGGGGGGGGGTTACAAAGAATAGCTGATATATAGGAAAGCCCCCACCTCCTTTTAACCCACAGGAAATGTTCATGTGTCCTGACTCCAAGAGCCTGCACTGCATGGTGCTCTGGATCTGGCCCCCAGCTCATTGGAGTCAATGTGTTGGCAGTCCATTGATTTCATTAAGCCTTTATAGGGAAAGCAGAAGCATAAGGGACCAGAGAAGACTTTCACTGGGGCTCAGGGAATCTCAGCCCCCTTGAACAGGTGCCTGGTTCCTTTTCCAATGCTATGAAATGTTGCCAGCAGGACGGACTCATATACGCGGACCTGGCGTTTGAGCCGCCAACTCGCTGCAAGCCCAGAAAGCAGCAGGCAGCATGAAGGAAGAATGGGATGCCATGAACAGCCGCATCCACAGGCTCCTTCATGAAGGGATGGCGGCCAGTTCTTTGTTGATTGGCGTGAACCTTGCCAGCCATCAAGACGGCTCCACGGGGGGACACACTCTGTCCTTGCGGCATTCAGACTGGACAGGTCAGAAGTCCCCAGCGATGAGCATGGCTGGGGGGACATCGTTTTCCATTATTGCAGCAAATACTTCCCAGGAGAACCAAGAGGAACAGTTTCTCCCATCATGGGACATTTGAAGACAAACCTAAATTTCCCTTTTTTTCCCCCTGAAATTCCCAGCTGCAAACATCCCCTGTGGAGGAGCATCAGGTGGACTCTTGAGCTGTTCGGCAATAAGGGAAAAAGAGACAATGCCCAGGGAGCTGGGCCTGTGTCTAGCCCACAACTGGACAGGAACCTGTGCTGCAGGATCTGTGCTGCGCTCCCATGTGAGCTGGGAGGATGCTGCGCTGTGGGCTTAGCATGTGCCAGGTACCAGGCTCTGAATGCACTCATCCCTGGCCTTTTCTCTGCTTTTGTTACCCATGCTAATTTTTTTCAGCAAGTCTGTGGTACTGTCCCCCTGCCCTTGGCTATGTGCACAAGCCTTGTCTGTGCAACCTTCTGACCAAAAAATAAAAGCCTCAAATATTTGTTGCCCCAAAATGACAGTTTTTCCTTGCACGTGGAGAAGCATTGCTGGAAGATTTTTGGAAGAAAAATCTAGATGCAATTTTTAGAATAAACACCTTTCTCTGTTCTGGGGGATGCAGTACATCATAAGGGCAGAAGGGCCCAGAATTATGGTCCAGAGCTTGGTGTTCATGGCAATCGCTTCAGCTTTGAGCTCCCCCATTGCAGTCTGAGTGGCTGTGTGACCCGTGCAGGGCTCAGAGCTACAAGAACAACCCACCCGAGGACTTAACCAGCTTCCCAAGCAGGGTTTGTAGCCCCGGATGACCTCCATACACCACAACTTCATGCAGCCCATACTCAGCTGTGTTTTGTGTTTAAGCAGCCTGGTGATCTACAGTCTCATCCCTGCCTCTGCAGCAATAGGCAGCCTTGTAATGAAGCATCTCTAGACCTGATGCTTAAAGGTATCAAAGCCCATTGACACCCACCCAGCAGGGCAGAGGGATGCAGAAGTCACTGCTATTGATTGAACTCACAGACTAAGCAAAGAAAGATCTGAATGGGATGCAAAATAACTTCCTGAATTCAGCCCTGCCAGCATCCCTCAGACAACACTGATGCTGGATTTTTGCTGTATATGTGCTTGAAAGTGGATGATCTGCAGAACCGGGAGGTATCAGGACAGAGAGGCCAATCCCCCCAGGCAGCAGCAGCAGCAATGGGGTGACATGCACGGCCCTCTGTGACAAGCTCATACCAAGCTGGCCCCCACTGGACTAGGGAGTGGACACACCTACAACACATGGGTATCATTTCCACCACTATGGCAGTGGGCCTCATTTACCTTGTGGTAACTTTATCCCAGAACAGAGTGGCTTGACAGTGGTGTGAGGTTGTGTGTGTGGCGGGCCAGTAGGGGGCGCTCCTGCATTGAGCCGCCCACCTCCCTGCGCCCGACCACCTTCCAGGCTCCGAGTGCCTCCCTGGGGTGCCTCCCGTCCGGCCGACCCCTT